ACAGTAGGTGCTCAATAGATGTCAGGTACACCTTGAGAGGCCCAGTGCAGAGCAGTTATGAGACTGCCCTTAGAGATCAGCCGACTCTGAGCATGACTGTCATCTCGTGAGAAGTGACTGTGGAGGAGCATCTCTACCAGTCGCTAAGGTGGTCAGGCCGGTGGCTGAGAGCTCGGGCTTGGGGCCAGGTTGCTGGGTTCAAATTCACACTGTGCTGCTTCCTGGCTGTGTGACCTTGAGTGAGAAACTCAACCTCTCTGGGGCCCAGTTTCCCCATTTGTAAACTGAGATACATGATAGTGCCCTCCTCTGTGGGACTGGTGGGCAGTAAGTCAGCATCCACCACCCTGTGCGTATTAGCTCCTGAGGCAAGGGATGTTTTCTGCCCAATTTGTTGATGAATGAACTGAGGGAGGTGATACGGTTTGCCAGGTCACAAAGTAGAGGCCATACTCTTAATCACTTGTCATGGGGCTTCAAACCACCACTGGTGCTGAGTCTCTGCAAAACTTGACTTAGAAATGTTATTGGGCCAGGGTGCAGTTAGTTGCTCAGTCCTGTAATCCTAACACTTCGGGAGGCTGAGGCAGGAGGACTGCTTGAACCCAGGAGTTTGAGACTAGCCTGGGCAACATGGGAGACTCTGACTCTACAAAAAATACCAAAAAATTATCCGGGTGTGGTGGCCGGCACCTGTAGTCCCAGCTACTCGGGAGGCTGAGGCAGGAGAACGGCGTGACCCTGGGAGGCAGAGCTTGCTGTGAGCCAGGATCACGTCACTGCACTCCAGCCTGGGAGACAGAGCAAGACTCTGTCTCAAAAAAAAAAAAAAAAAAAAATTAGCAGAGCATAGTGGCATGCGCCTGTAGTTCCAGCTCTTCGGGAAGCTGTGGTACAAGGATCACTTGAGCCTGGGAGGTGGAGGCCACAGTGAGCCATGATCGCACCACTGCATTCGTGCCTGGGTGACAGAGCAAGACATCATCTCAAAAAAAAAAAAAAGTCTTTCTGTGCCAGGCACAGTGGCTCACACCTGTAATCCCAGCACTTTGGGAGGCTGAGGCGGGTGGATCACCTGAGGTTGGGAGTTTGAGACCAGCCTGGCCAACATGGTGAAACCCCGACTCTACTAATAATACAAAAATTAGCTGGGCGTGGTGGCACAAGCATGTAATCCCAGCTACTAGGGAGGCTAAGGCGGGAGAATCACTTAAACCCGGAAGGCGGAGGTTGCAGTGAGCCAAGATCAAGCCACTGCACTCCAGCCTGGATGACAAGAGTGAAATTCCGTCCCCCCAAAAAAAAAAAAAAGTTTCTGGGTGGGGTGTGAAGTCAGGCTGACCTATGGACACAAACTTTAATCTGTAATCAACTGGAACTTGCTCTGGGTTCTTGCTCTGGGTTCCTTCCTCTGACCCTTGATTTTGTCGTCTGTGCAATGGGGATGATCACCTGGAGCCAAAGTTGGGTATTGTACTTACTGCAGCATCTATCACAGTGGGCATTGGGGAGGAAGAGCTGTGTGGCTTTGGGTGAGTCTCTTGACCTCTCTGAGCCTTACCTGCAAAAACACAACAATCCCAGTCTGGGACCCCCCATGGGCTGTGGCAGGTGTGTGACTGCTGCTCCCATCCCACAGGGCTGGGTGTGGTCACTGGCAGCGCAGGACCACCGCGTGTGCTCTGGCTCCTGGGACAGCACAGTGAAGCTCTGGGACCTGGCAGCAGATGGGCAGCAGTTCGGCGAGATAAAGTGTGAGGGGGTCTGGGCAGGGGATCTGGGGGGATAGGACCCTGCCCGGCCACAGCCAAAGCCCTGTGGTCTGTGTGTCCCCAGGACCAGCTCAGCCGTGCTGTGCCTCTCCTACCTGTCTGACGTCCTGGTGACTGGCACCTATGACAAGAAGGTGGCCATCTATGACCCCAGAGGTGGGCCAAGAATCCTGGGGCCCAGGTTGGGAGATGTCATGTTGGGGAAGGAGACAATGGGGCTTCACAGCCTGGCTGGGGTCATAGTCACATAACCACATACTCACCACTCGGAGTGGCCGTGCTGTGCTGGTACAATATAGGCAACTTGGGCAGCGGGTGCAGATGAAGTTTTGGCAGCCCTGGGGGCCGGTTAGAATCCTGGCTGTCCCACTTCCTACCTGTGTGACCCCCAGACAAGCTTGAAGCTCGGTTTCCCCATCTGTGAAATCCAGATAATAATACCACGCCAGCCCCATGGGTTAATGGGGGAAGATGATAATAGTAACAGTGGTAGATTAAGTACATTTTTTTATGCTGGGTGTGGTGGTGCCCACCTATAGTCCCAGCGACTCCGCAGGCTGAGGCAGGAGGATTGCTTCAGCCTAGGAATTTGAGTTCAACCTGGGCAACATAGTGAGACCCCCATATCTAAATGAAAAGTAATTAAAAATATATAAATAAATTCATTTACATAAGCACCTAGAAGGAACACTGCCTGGAACATAAGTATTTTCTGTTATTTATCCATTCTTTTTTTTTTTTTCTTTTCTTTTTTTTTTTTTTTGAGATGGAGTCTCACTGTTACCCAGGCTGGAGTGCAGTGGCGCGATCTCAGCTCACCGCAACCTCCACCTCCTGGGTTCAAGCGACTCTCCTTCCTCAGCCTCCCGAGTAGCTGGGATTACAGGAGACTGCCCCCATGCCTGGCTAATTTTTGAAATTTTAGTAGAGATGAGGTTTCACCATGTTGGCCAGGCTGGTCATGAACTCCTGACCTCAGGTGATCCACCCGCCTTGGCTTCCCAAAGTACAGGGATTACAGGCGTGAGCCACTGCGCCTGGCCATTTTTCTTTTTTTTCAAATAGAGACAGGGTCTTGCCACGTTTCCCAGGCTGATCTTGAACTCCTGAGCTCAGGTGATCTGCCCGTATCAGCCTCCCAAAGTTCTGAGATTACAGGTGTGACCCACTGTGCCCGGCCTATTTATTCATTCTTCTTTTGTTAATTGAAGGGCCAGTGTACCTTGTCCAGGCAGAGCTGGAGCAGGGCTGCGGGATAGAGGCATGTTTCATGGCAACCTGAGGGTGGATGCAAAACTGAGACCCCCTTGGTCAGCTCTGTGCTAAGAACAATAGATGGGATCGGAGGAGGGATATGGGATGGGGACCGGGATGGGCAGAAGCCTGGGGCTCCTGTGGAGGCCTGGGTTTAGCTGAGGTGGGAGAGGAGAGAGGGGTCACTCTGTGGGGTAGGGGAATGAGCAGATCGAGGGTTTTGCCGGACAGGATGGAGACACGGGATGCTCCCATGGGCTGGGAGAGGGGGCCTTCAAGGGGCTCTGATATCCCTCCTCCCCGGCCCATCACCCATGAAGCCAGCCCAGCCCTGTTGAAGTGCCAGCAACTACACTCCAGACCCGTGCTGGCCCTGATGGCGGATGACCAGCACATCATCTCAGGCAGCGAGGACCGCACCCTGGTAGTGGTTGACCGCCGAGCCAACAGAGTCCTGCAGCGTCTGCAGGTGGGCCCTCCCCAGGGGCCTGGAGAGATGGGGACTGTCGCAGGCCCAGCACGGCCTGAGCTGTCCTGTCCCTTGTCCCTCTCATAGCTGGACTCTTACCTGCTCTGCATGTCCTACCAGGAACCCCAGCTCTGGGCTGGTGACAACCACGGCCTGCTGCACGTCTTCGTCAACCGCAACGGCTGCTTACAGCTTATCCGGGTCTGCTGGAGCTCCTGCCCCTGCCTGTTCCTCCCCCTGGGCCTCCTTCCTACCCCTGAGCCCCTGGTGGTGTGGGGGAGGGTGGGCCTTGGGAGAGCCTCGCCTGAGTGTTTCCTGATCCCCTTCCCGCAGTCCTTTGACGTGGGCCACAGCTTTCCCATCACTGGGATCCAGTACTCAGTGGGAGCCTTGTACACCACATCCACTGACAGGTCCATCCGGGTGAGGCTCCTGCCCAGTCCCTGCCCCTCCCCCACCTCCCATCAGCCAGGGGCATACCTCTTGACCTTGGCCCATTGCCCCTCACCAGGTGCACGTGCCCACAGACCCACCAAGGACCATCTGCACCCGAAAGTACGACAGTACGCTCAATAGGGTAAGGTCCTGCCCCATGTGCCCTGCCCAGCTGGCCAGAGCGCCATCGTCCCTGACTCCTCATGTCCTTCCCCGGTCCCAGGTCTGTGCTGAGGGCAACCTCGTGGTGGCCGGCTCTGGGGACGTGTCGCTAGAGGTCTGGAGGCTGCCGGCCTGAGCAGGTGGATGTGGATGTGGATACTGCCTACCGGAGGCTGGGCTTCCTCCTCTGTTCTTGGGGGACCATCCCCAATGTTGGTGCTGCCTCCGCCCCCGCCCCGCAGGCCTAGGGCACAAGGAGTCCTGGCCACGTTCGGGTGAGGGTCCTGGCCTGGGCCCTATGCCTGGGGGAAGGGTGAAGTTGGGGTTCAGGCCCACCCAGGGGGCCGCGCCCCGCTCTTGGGCCCTGGTTTTGTTATGATTTGGATGCCCTGCTCTCAGGTGAGAGCAAAGGAGAAATAAACCTGACATGTTGGTGCTTGGGCCTGAAGTGTGAGTGTGGTTAGCCTGCTGGGGCTCTGCCTGCGCCTGCTTGGGGTTGGGGGACTGCGGGCCTTCGTGGGAGTGACTGGGAGAGATAGCAAGTCTGGGCTGGGGGGTGCGTGTCAGCTGTTGCTGTGTGTTTATTTGAAGAGGGAGATTCCTGGGGATCATGGTCACCTGGGTCTATGATGTCACTTGTGTGTGTGTGATGTGTGATGTGTGTGGTGTGTAGATTATGACTCAAATCCTGGCCATTTGAAAGGGTAACTGCTCAGGCTATCCCATGAGTGCTGGGGACGGCAAGGGGGATGGCGTATTCTCCGTCTGGGGCTCTAGGGTCTGTGTGTGCTGCTGTGGCTGTGACCCTGGGGTCAGGCGGGGGAGGGAGACTGGGCCAGGTGTGTACCTGGCCCTTGCAAGCCCAAAGTCCCTCTGGTCTCCCATCTCAGCCGGGCTCAGCCATGCCCTGAGAATTATTCACTTCATGTTTATTGAGGTCCCCTGGTTTGCCCAGGCCACAGGGTGGCATTGTCCTGGGTTCATAGGATGGCACAGGGCTTCTTCTCCTTGAAGGGGTTCGTGGCGGCTGGGATGCCTACAAGGAAGGGGTTGCTCTTGGCCTGCTCTGTGCAGAACTGCAGCAGATCGGCGGCCACCTTGGACACCTGCAGACCAACTGGGTCAGTCAGATCAGACACGGGCATGTACCTGTCCCCTGGCCCATGTGTTTCCACCTCTTCCCACTCTGCACTGGCCCCGACCCTCACCTTCACTCGGTCGATGCCCACCTTTATCCGGAGCTGCTCCACTGCCTGGCAGGCCTGCCCAGTGTCACCACTGATGGTCACCTTGCTGGACATCTGGGGAAAGTGGGCAGGGCTGTGGGCAGCAGGCCCAACCTCAGTCCCCTAGGGGGAGCCTAGGGCTGCCCGAGGGTTCCCGCACCTCCTCCTATGTTCCTTGGGGACTGCAGGATGAGGATGGCTGCTCCTGGACCTGTGAGGCCCACGCACCTCAGCTAAGCCACCTCTGGCTGCCTGGTCCTCTGGCGGCCACCCTGCTCTGGCTCCCTCCCCAATCCGGCCTGTCCTCTCCAAACCTCTTTTCTCCTTCTGCTACCCCTGCAGAGACTTTGAAGCCAGGACTCTCATGGAGTGAAATGTCACCAGCTGCAGCAGCAGCAGCTGCCTCGGCTGAGGGGGTCCCTGTCCCAGGAGGGCCTGTGGCTGCCCTGGTGTCATGTGTCACCTGGGTCCCTGTGGGCTGTGTGCCTTGGCTGGGGGAGCGAGGAGGCCCTGGCCTCCCCTTGACCTGCTGGATCTCCTGCTAACTGTTCCCAACACATCTGCTTTGTCAGACTCTGCCATCTCCGACATGCAGCCTTGCCTCTCCTGCTCTCACCACTTCTCAGGCCCAAATCTCCAATACCTTCATTCTCTTTTTTTTTTTTTTTGAGACGGAGTCTCACTCTGTCGCCTGGGCTGGAGTACAGTGGCCGGATCTCAGCTCACTGCAAGCTCCGCCTCCCGGGTTTACATCATTCTGCCTCAGCCTCCCGAGTAGCTGGGACTACAGGCGCCCGCCACCTCGCCCGGCTAGTTTTTTGTATTTTTTTAGTAGAGACGGGATTTCACTGTGTTAGCCAGGATGGTCTCGATCTCCTGGCCTCGTGATCCGCCCGTCTCGGCCTCCCAAAGTGCTGGGATTACAGGCTTGAGCCACCGCGTCCGGCCTTTTTTTCTTTTTTTTTTTTGAGAGTCTTGCTCTGTTACCCAGGCTGGAGTGCAGTGGTGCGATCTCAGCTCACTTTCAACCTCCATCTCCCGGGCTCAAGTGATTCTCCTGCCTCAGCCTCCTGAGTAGCTGGGATTACAGGCGTATGCCAGCCACCACACCCGGCTAATTTTTTTTTTTTTTTTTTTTTTGAGATGGTGTTTCGCTCGTTGCCCTGGCTAGAGTACAATGGCGCGATTTCAGCTCACTGCACCCTCCACCTTCTGGGTTCAAGTGATTCTCCTGCCTCAGCCTTTCGAGTAGCTGGGATTACAGGCATGTGCCACCATGCTCAGCTAATTTTTAGCAGTTTTAGTAGAGACAGGGTTTCACCATGTTGGTCAGGCTGGTCTTGAACTCCCGACCTCAGGTGATCCACCTGCTTTGGCCTCCCAAAGTGCTGGGATTACAGGTGTGAGCCATCATGCCTGGCCTTTTTTTTTAAAGCCCAGGTTCTCGCTCTGTCCAGGCTGGAGTGCAATGGTACAATCATAGCTCACTGTAACTTCAAACTCCTGGGCTCAGGTGATCCTCTCACCTCAGCCTCCTGATTAGCTAGAATTATAGGCGTGAGCCACCATGCCCTGCTAATTTATGTTTTTAACTTTTTGTAGAGATGGTTCTTACTATGTTGCCCAGGCTGGTCTTGAACTCCTGACCTCAAACGATCCTTGGCCTTCCAAAGGAATTATAGGCATAAGCCACTGAGCCTTGCCCCACCTGAGATTCTAATATGTGCCCAGCACTGTGCAAAAAACCAAAATGAGCAATGAAACAAGACAAAACCCTGCCCTCATGGAGCTGCCTTTCTAGTCAGGCAGGGATGGACAGCAGAAAATGTACTCAGTGAAAGAGCATACATCTGAAAGAGAATATGAAAGAAGAATAAAATCAAGGTAAAGGGGGGAGGAGTGGTCAGGGCAGGCCTCTCAGAGGAGGTGACATTTTAACTTAGGCCCAAAGGAGAAGGAACTGAGAAATGGGGTGTTCTAGGCAGGGGGACCAGCAAGTACATGGCTACTTGGACAAAAAAGAGCTTGGTGGGTTCCACGAACAGCAAAGAGATCCATGTAGCTGGATAGGAGAGAGGGAGGGAGGGCCAACATGGTGGGAGGTGGAAGCAGGGAGGTTGAGAGGCGCCCTTTAAGGCCACTGTGAAAAGCTTGGATTTTACTCCCAGGGGGAAGCTACCATTAGGAGGTTTTAACCGTGACGTGTTTGATTTATGGTTAAGGAGCTGTGGCATGTGTCTGTAGTCCCAGCTACTGGGGAGACTGAAGTGGGAGGATGACTTGAGGCCAGGAGGTTGAAGCTGCGGTGAGGTGTGATTGTCCTGTTGCACTCTAGCCCTGATGATAGAGTGAGACCCTGCATCAAAAAAAAAAAAAAAAAAAAGGAAATAAAAGCTCTCTGATCTTAGCTGTTAGGTGGGAGATGGATTGAAGAAGACCAAAGCCACCTTGTAGGCTATGAGGGTAAAGAAAATACCTGGATTTCGGACCTACTTTATAGGTAGAGGTTGGCAGACATGCTGAGAAGGATGGATGTGGGGTGTGCAAAAAGGGGAGACAGCAAGCTCCACTCCTCATTTTAAATTTTTATTTATTTTTGAGATGGAGTTTTGCTCTGTTGCCCAGACTAGAGTGCAGGGGCACCATCTCGACTCGCTGCAACCTCCACCTCCTGGGTTCAAGTGATTCTCCTGCCTCAGCCTCCTGAGTAGCTGGGATTACAGGTGTGTGCCACCACACCTGGCTAATTTTTGTATTTTTTAGTAGAGACAGGGTTTTGCCATGTTGACCAGGCTGGTCTCTAACTCCTAACCTCAGGTGATCCGCCCGCCTTGGCCTCCCAAAGTGCTGGGATTACAGGTGTGAGCCACCGTGCCCAGCCCCAATCCCTATTTTTCAGTCTAGTGGATGAGTGAAGGGTGGGGCCATTTGCTGAGATGCAGAAAGACCAGGGATAGGTAGAGAGGGAACTGAGGGGGCAACTTTGAGATCCAAGTGAGGATGTCAAGGAGGATGTCTGGCTCCTCCAACAAGGTAGGCTCATTCCAGCCTCAGGGCTTTTGCTGTTCTGTCCACCCACGTGCAGGGAATGGCCTCCCTGCATCTTCACATATGGAGATTTTCTCAGCCTTCTGGCTTTGGCTCAAATCTCACCTCCTTGGCGTTCTTCACCCATCACTCCAACTAAAATACCCAACTCCTCCACCTAAAGACTCAAATCATCCTGTTTAAATCCTGATTGCGCTGGGCGCGGTGGCTCACACCTGTAATCCTAGCACTTTGGGAGGCCGAGGCAGGTGGATCACCTGATGTCAGGAGTTCGAGACCAGCCTGACCAACATAGTGAAACCCTGTCTCTACTAAAAATACAAGAATTAGCCGGGCGTGATGGTGCATGCCTGTAATCCCAGCTACCTGGGAGGCTGAGGCAAGAGAATCACTTGAAAAACCGGGAGGCAGAGGTTACAGTGAGTTGAGATCATGCCATTGCACTCCAGCCTGGGCAACAAGAGTGAAACTCCGTCTCAAAAAAAAAAAAAAAAAAAAAAAAAGCTGATTGTACTCACCATTGTTGTTAGCTTTCTATCTTCCCAATCAGATTGTGAGCTCCAGTAGGAAAGAGTCCACATCTTGGTCTTGTTCACCACGAAATCCTTAGTGCCTAACACAGAGTCCACCATAGAGAATAGACTGCATGAATTGTACAGTGAGTGAATAATCCTGTTGACCGTATGCACTGTTAGGAGGGTGCGTTTGAGGTGCAGACGACATTGAGGGTCTCACAGTCTTGCTGGTGGGAAAGCGACGGCAGCCCTGGGTCCCAGAAGAGGCCACTGACCCAGTGGAAGTTCAGGGAAGGCTTCCCAGAGGAGGTGGAGGTGATAGCTGCAGCTATAAAGGAAGAACAAAACGTTATGCAGCATGTGAAGGCTTTGGAGACTTGTGAGGGCACGAACTGGGCTCACTATCCCATTAGACAAAAGTGGCCGAGGAAGGCTGGAACTGTATCTAACACTGCCTGGTGATGGAAATCCTGTCCATGGGTGACGCTTAAGAAGTGATCCTCATAAAAAAAATTACCTGGGGACGGTGGTACACACCTGTAGTCCCAGCTTGTCGGGATGCTGGGGTGGGAAGATGACCTGAGTTCAGGAGTCGGAGGTTGCAGTGGGCCGAGATCGCGTCACAGCACTCCAGCCTGGCGACAGAGTGAGACCCTATCAAACAACAGCAGGCCGGGCGCGGTGGCTCAAGCCTGTAATCCCAGCACTTTGGGAGGCCAAGACGGGCGGATCACGAGTTCAGGAGATCAAGACCAGCCTGGCTAACACGGTGAAACCCCATCTCTACTAAAAATACAAAAAATTAGCCAGGCGTGGTGGCGTGCGCCTGTAGTACCAGTTACTCGGGAGGCTGAGGCAGGAGAATGGTGTGAACCCTGGAGGCAGAGGTTGCAGTGAGCCGACGTCGCGCCACTGTGCTCCAGCCTGGGTGACAGCGCAAGACTATCTCAAAAACAAACAAACAAACAAACAAACAAAAACAGCCCGGGCGCGGTGGCTCAAGCCTGTAATCCCAGCACTTTGGGAGGCCGAGATGGGTGGATCATGAGGTCAGGAGATCCAGACCATCCTGGCTAACACGGTGAAACCTCGTCTCTACTAAAAAATACAAAAAACTAGCCGGGCGAGGTGGCGGGCGCCTGTAGTCCCAGCTACTCGGGAGGCTGAGGCAGGAGAATGGCGTGAACCCGGGAGACGGAGCTTGCAGTGAGCTGAGATCCGGCCACTGCACTCCAGCCTGGGCGACAGAGCAAGACTCCGTCTCAAAAAAAAAAAAGGTAACAACAACAAAACCAGCGTCTCCTCCCGAGGGGACAGAACAGAAACGAATGGGCGAGCGCCGGCAAAGCGGTGGGTCTCCAGCAGGCGGCATTAAAATCTTGGCTGGGGGCAGTGGCTCACGCCTGTAATCCCAGCACTTTGGAAGGCCTAGGCGGACGGATCACGTGAGGTCAGAACCAGCCTTGTCAACATGGTGAAATGCCGTCTCTACTGAAAATACGAAAATTAGCCAGGCGTGGTGGTGGGTGCCTATAATCCCAGCAACTCGGGAGGCTGAGGCAGGAGAATCGCTTGAACTAGGGGAGCAGGGTTTGCCGTGAGCCGAGATTGCAACACTGCACTCCAGCCTGCGCAACAAGAGCATAACTCTGTCTCAAAAATAAATTAAATAAATAATACAAATAAAAAAGAATCTTCATGCGAAGTCGGGAACACATGAAAAGGCGTAAAGGCCTGGCGCGGTGGCTCACGCCTGTAATCCCAGCACTTTGGGAGGCCCGAGGCGGGCGGATCACCTGAGGTCGGAAGTTCGAGACCAGTCTGACCAACAAAGAGAAACCCTGTCTCTACTAAAAATACAAAATTAGCCGCGCGTGGTGGTGTATGCCTGTAGTCCCAGCTACTTGGGAGGCTGAGGAAGGAGAATCGCTTGAACCCGGAAGGTGGAGGTTGCAGTGAGCTGAGATTGCGCAATTGCACTCCAGCCTGGGCGACAAGAGTGAAACCCTGTATGGAATGAAAGAAGAAAGGAAGGAAGGAAGGAGGACGGGAGGGAGGGAGGGAGAGAGGGAAAAGGAAAGAAAGGAAGGAAAGAAAAGGAAGGAAGGAAAGAAAGAAGAAAGAAACGAAAGAAACGAAAGAAAGAAAGGAAGAAAGAAAGAAAGAAAGAAGAAAGAGAAAAGAAAGAAAGAAAAAAGAAAAAGACCTAAAGGCTCCTCGCGGCTTCCGTATTACGGAACACATGCGCAAAGATGGCGGCGACCAGGTTTACAGGGCCTAAAAATGGTCACGTGAAAAATCAACTTCCGGTCTTTCTTCCAAAAACGCATTCCCTACTTCCTGTGCTCCTGCGAGACGCGCGCGTCGGGGATTAACGCGTTTCTGGGCCGCCGTAAGCCCGGCTAGGGGCCGCTGTGACTCGAGAGCTGGCTACAGGCGCATGGAAGGTTCCCCGGAACGGGAGGCGCCAGCGGCGGCGCTGGCCGCCGTGCTAAAGCACAGCTCGACGTTGCCGCCCGAAAGCACCCAGGTTCGGGGCTACGACTTCAACCGCGGTGTGGATTACCGCGCGCTGCTGAAAGCCTTCGGCACCACCGGCTTCCAGGCCACCAACTTCGGGCGCGCTGTACAGCAAGTCAATGCCATGGTGAGGACGGGGGCGGGACTTCTAGGGACGCGGAGGGGCGTGGCTTGCAGAACCAGTGCGGTACGGGGGCAGGGCTTCCAGTGGAGGGGATGTGTCTTTTATTTGAGCGGCCCAATAGTTGGAGGAAGGCGGGACCTATTCTGGGCGGGAGTTTCTGTCCTGGGAAGGGGATTTTGCACTGTAGTAGTTACAGGGTAGTACGGTAGCCCGAGGAGGCAAGGACTGATTCTCGGTGTGGGAGCGGGTTCCAGGTAAATTTAAAGCTTTCTGGAATGGGCGGAGCCTGAGGCTATACAAGTTAAGGGAGGATTTGGGAGGAGGAGCCTAAGTCTGGGCGGTGATTCAATTTAGATTTGCTTTTCCCAGCGGGGAAGGGACCGGATCTGAAAGGAGATGCTCTCTGATTCCTAAAAACGTGGGGGCTGGCTGGGCGCGGTGGCTTATGCCTGTAATCCCAGCATTTTGGGAAGCCGAGGCGGGTGGATCACTAGATCAGGAGTTCGAGACCAGCCTGGCCAACATGGTGAAACCCTGTCTCTACTAAAATTCAAAAAATTAGCCGGGCATGGTGATGCGCGCCTGTAGTCCCAGCTACTCCGGAGGCTGAGGCAGGAGAATCGCTTCAACCCGGAAGGTTGCAGCGAGATCGCGCCACTGCAATCCAGTCTGGTGACAGAGCCATACTCTGTCTCAAAAAAAAAAAAAAAAAAAAAAAGGCCGGGCACGGTGGCTCACGCCTGTAATCTCAGCATTTTGGGAGGCTGAGGCGGGCGGATCACCTGAGGTCGAGAGTTCGAGACCAGCCTGACCAACATGGAGAAACCCCGTCTCTACTAAAAAGACATGCCTGTAATCTCAGCTACTTGGGAGGCTGAGGCAGGAGAATTGCTTGAACCTGAGAGACGGAGGTTGCGGTGAGCCAAAATTGCGCCATTGCACTCTAGCCTGGGCAACAAGAGTGAAACTCTGTCTAAAAAAAATGGGTGGGGGCAAATCCTTAACGCGTGTCCTGAGATCTGGTCTGGGAAGGGGCAGAGTTTGCACAGGAGATGTACCTTGGTCTCCTGTAGAACTGGTCCTGTATCCCTGACTGTGCAGGGCCTGGGGTGAAATCTGTTTCTGGAGCCCACCTGGAGTCCTGGGTCTGGGATTTAACGCCAGTGCTTAACTCGACCTGGCTCTTACTCTCAGATCGAGAAGAAGCTGGAACCACTGTCACAGGATGAAGACCAGCATGCAGACCTGACCCAGAGCCGCCGCCCACTTACCGGCTGCACCATTTTCCTGGGATATACATCCAACCTCATCAGTTCAGGCATCCGTGAGACCATTCGCTACCTTGTGCAGCACAACATGGTGGGGACCTGGTGGGGCGGTGGCCTTGGCCTCTGGGTCAATGGGCGATGCAGTTATTGATCGTTTAAGTGAGATGGGGAGATAGGAGTCTGTTACAAGCAGAGGAACAGAATCGAGTTTTGTTTTGTAGCAGAGCTCCCTCGTAGGAGTCACTGGACAAGGATGAGGTTAGAAGTCCTGCCCAGAATGAGGGCCGGGGCTTCCTTCTTGGGCCAACTTCACTGCCCTGTGGCTGCAGGTGGATGTATTGGTGACCACAGCTGGCGGCGTGGAGGAGGACCTCATCAAGTGCCTGGCGCCCACATACTTGGGCGAGTTTAGCCTCAGGGGGAAGGAGCTCCGGGAGAACGGAATCAATAGGTGAGAACCCTGAGTGGTGCTGGGCAGGGGAGCTGGACCAAGGGTCCTGGGGCCTGATGCCCACATGCTTCCCGTCCTCAGGATCGGAAACCTGCTGGTGCCCAATGACAATTACTGCAAGTTTGAGGACTGGCTGATGCCCATTCTGGACCAGATGGTGCTGGAGCAGAACACAGAGGTGGGGCTGGGGCAACCTGGAGGGGCCAGTCCAGTGGGAGTCAGGGGAGGCATGGCCTGAAGCTCACCTCCTCTCCTAGGGTGTAAAGTGGACGCCTTCTAAGATGATCGCCCGGCTGGGCAAGGAGATCAACAACCCAGAGTCCGTGTATTACTGGGCCCAGAAGGTGAGGACCTAAGCGGGGGCAAAGTAGCCAGACTTTGACATGTGTTACTTCATCTTTCCAGCCACCTGGGGATTCACCACTGTTATTCTCAGCATCCTCACGCTTAGATGAGGAGACTCAAACACAGATAAGCATGGTAAATTTTTTTTTTTTTTTTTTTTTGAGACAGGATCTGGCTCTGTCACCTAGGCTGGAGTGCAGTGATGTGATCACAGCTCACTGCAGCCTCAACCTCCTGGGGCCAAGCAGTCCTCCCACCTCAGCCTCTCGAGTAGCTGGGACCACAGGCACATGCCACCATGACCAGCTAATTTTTTTTTTTTTTTTTTTTTTTGAGACGGAGTCTCGCTCTGCCACCCAGGCTGGAGTGCAGTGGCCGGATCTCAGCTCACTGCAAGCTCCGCCTCCCGGGTTCACGCCATTCTCCTGCCTCAGCCTCCCGAGTAGCTGGGACTACAGGCTCCCGCCACCTCGCCCGGCTAGTTTTCTGTATTTTTTAGTAGAGACGGGGTTTCACCGTGTCGGCCAGGATGGTCTCGATCTCCTGACCTCGTGATCCGCCCGTCTCGGCCTCCCAAAGTGCTGGGATTACAGGCTTGAGCCACCGCGCCCGGCCGACCAGCTAATTTTAAAATTGTTTTGTAGAGATGGGGCGGGGGGGCTCCGTATGTTGCCCAGGCTGGTCTTGAACTCCTGGCCTCAGGCAATCCTCCCACCTTGGCCTCCCAAAGTGCTGGGATTAGAGGCATGAGCCACTGTGCCTGGCCAGGCTAGGTAATTTTGTCCCTAGTCACACAGATAACTAGTGGGGCCTCAGCATCCTTATGTTCCTCCCAGACTATCTCTGGAACAGTAGGGGCAGCACTTAGCGACTCCCCTGGGGCCTGGCTCTGGGTCCCACACTCCCAGAGGCTATAAAATAAGAGATAGCCACTCCCTTTAATTAGATAATCAGAATCTGGAAAAAAAGAAAAAGGCTGCCTACCCTTTTTTTTTTTTTTTTTGAGACGGAGTCTCGCTGTGTTGCCCAGGCTGGAGTGCAGTGGCGATCTTGGCTCTCTGCAAGCCTCCCAAAGTGCTGGGATTAAAGGCGTGAGCCACTGTGCCCAGCCCTCTTTTTTTTTTTTTTTTTTTTTGAGACAGAGTCTTACTCTGTCACCCAGGCTGGAGTGCAATGGTATGATTTCAGCTCACTGCAACCTCCGCCTCCCAAGTTAAAGTGATTCTCCCGCCTCAGCCTACTGAGTAGCTGGGATTACATGCGCCCACCATCATGCCCAGCTAATTTTTGTATTTTTGTACAGATGGGGGTTCACCATGTTGGCCAGGCTGGTGTTGAACTCCTGACCTCAAGTGATCCGCCCGCCTTGGCCTCCCAAAGTACTGGGATTACAGATGTGAGCCACCACACCCAGCCTACCTATTCTTTCTTTTTTACGAGACAGGGTCTCACTCTGTTGCCCAGGCAGGAGTGCAATGGCACAATAATGACTCACTGCTGTCTTGAACTTCTGGGCTCAATCGATTCTCCTGCCTCAGCTTGCTGAGTAGCTGGGACTACAGGTGCTTGCCACCATGCCTGGCCAATTTTTTTTGTAGAGATGGGGACTCACCATGTTGTACAAGCTGGCTCTTTTTTTTTTTTTTTTTTAAACAGAGTTTCACTCTTGTTGGCCAGGCTGGAGTTCAATGGTGCGATCTTGGCTCACAGCAACCTCTACCTCCTGGGTTCAAGCATTTCTCTTGCTTCAACCTCCCAAGTTCCCAAGTAGCTGGGATTACAGGCATGTGCCACCATGCCTGGCTAATTTTGCATTTTTTGTAGAGACGGGGTTTCTCCATGTTGGTCAGGCTGGTCTCGAGCTCTCAACCTCAGGCGATCCACCCGCCTCGGCCTCCCAAAGTGCTGGGATTATAGGTGCAAGTCATCGCGCCCGGCCACAAGCTGGCTCTTTAGAAAAGAGATAGAGGGTCGGGCACAGTGGCTCATGCTTGTAATCCCAGTACTTTGGGAGGCCAAAGTGGTGGATCATCTGAAGTCAGGAGTTCAAGACCAGCCCGGCCAACATGGTGAAACCCCATCTCTACTAAAAAAAAAAAAAAAAAAGCAAAATTAGCTGAGTGTGGTGGCACATGCCTGTAATCCTAGCTACTCCGGAGGCTGAAGCAGGGGAATCACTGGAACCCAGGAGGCAGAGGTTGCAGTGAGTCAAGATTGTGCTATTGCACTTCAACCAGGGCAACAAGTGAAACTCCATCTCAGAAAAAAAAAAAGAGAAAGAAACAGCTCAGCAAGCTAAGAATAGGCTGGTTCTTTACGTGCCGGGCACTATCCTAAGTATTTTCTGTGGGTTTTCTCATATAGGCCTCATCTGTGAGAGGTGTTACTGTTACGCTTATTTTATAATTGAGGAAACAGTCCTAGATAAATTAGGCACCCCGCCCACAGTCAGAGAGTGATGCAGCCGGCATGGGGACGAGGCTCTGAGCTCCAGCCACTGTCCTGTTATGTTCTCTGCAGAACCACATCCCTGTGTTTAGTCCCGCACTTACAGACGGCTCGCTGGGCGACATGATCTTCTTCCATTCCTACAAGAACCCGGGCCTGGTCCTGGACATCGTTGAGGGTGAGGCGCTGGGGCCACAGAGGAGATGGGAAGGAGGGCCGGCTGAGTCCAAGGCCTGACTTAGACCCTCTTTCCCCAGACCTGAGGCTCATCAACACGCAGGCCATCTTTGCCAAGGGCACTGGGATGATCATTCTGGGCGGGGGCGTGGTCAAGCACCACATCGCCAATGCCAACCTCATGGTGAGTGGGGGTGGTGCTTCGGCCCACTGTGCAGACGTGCTGTGTGCTAGGCCTATGCCATGTGCTGAGGAGACAGCATGAACTAGACAAACCAGGATCCCTGCTCCCCTGGGACTGATGTTCTAGTAGGGGAGATAGCAAACAAGTGACATCCATGTCGGGGCAGTCATTGCTATGGAGAATACTAGATGATGGGATAAGAGAAAGGGGTTCTGTCTAACAAGGGGTTTTGGAAGGAGGCTTCTGGAAGTATGAGCTGGGAGCAGGGGTTTGGGGAGGCATCTCCCAGGAGCCATGTGGTTGTCTCCCGTGCCAGGAGTTGCAGCTGCTGTGGTAGGATTGAGCTTCTGGATTGCAAAGTTCTCAGGAGAGGGAACAGCCAGTGCAAAGGCTCTGGGGTGCCTGAAGTAATCCAGGAACAGCTGGGAACCTGGTGAGGGGAAGTGGAGTGGTGAGGGCCAGGAGGTGCCACAGGCAGTCTGCTGGGCCCTGTGGGCTGAGGCGCGGCTTTGGTCTTTGCCCTGAGGGAGGTGGGAGAGGACTTGACTCGGGTTCCCATCCTCCCCCTGGTGGCCATGTGGTGAACAGATGGTGGCAGGTGAGTGAGAACTCCAGTCCAGGACGGTGGTGACCATGCAGGGATCAGGATGGGCACCATGGAGGCAGGAGGTGGTTGGATTTGGAGGGCTTCTGAGGATACAGTTGCTGGCAGCTCCTGCCTTGCCGATGGGGCAGGTTGTTGACACCTGGCTGCTGGGTCTGGGGAAACACGGGCCGTTGTTGCCCGGCAGCTCTAGTGACCCCAGACATTGACATGGGCCCTGTCTGGGAGCGAGGGCCTGCAAAGGGCTTCCTTCATCTGGGACACACCTCTCAGCCTGTTTGGCTATGGTGTCCTCCCTCTGTGTCTGTCTCCTGTGACTGGCTGGCTGGGCCCGCCGTGCCCCTCCTCTCCCCACAGCGGAACGGGGCCGACTATGCTGTCTACATCAACACAGCCCAGGAGTTTGATGGCTCCGACTCGGGTGCCCGACCAGACGAGGCTGTCTCCTGGGGCAAGATCCGGGTGGATGCACAGCCCGTCAAGGTAAGGGCTGACTGGGTGGGGCACAGGGTCTTTGGGACCTTGGGCGTGGGACCCATGGCTTACCCAGGTTCCCCCCTACCCAGGTCTATGCCGACGCTTCCCTGGTCTTCCCCCTGCTCGTGGCTGAAACCTTTGCCCAGAAGATAGATGCCTTCATGCATGAGAAGAACGAGGACTGAGCAGCTGCTGTCCCAAGGTCTTACCCCCTCCTCTATTTATTAATTTGCAGACCCAGCCCCTCCCCTACTTTTTGGTCAGCCACGTCTCTAGAATAAAATGGTCTCTGCAGTCCTTCTGCATCTGTGTCTCGGTCCTTGGTCCTGTTGGTGGGTCCCCTGGCTTCAGCCTGCTCCATCCTCTGCCTCATAGGTCTCTTCCCGCCAGCACTGGATGCTGCCCCCCATGGCAGTCAGCAGGCAGGGCTCCGTGGGGTGGTAGGCCAACGACTGCACCACGCCATGACCCACAGGCAGGGCCAGAGCCAGGGCACCCTGTGGAGCGAGGGGTAGGGAGTGGTTATTTGTGGCTGGGCTGTCCCCTCGTTCCTGAGGTCCCTGGGCACCCCCCATCTCAGTCCTGCCTGAAGCTCTCAGTCACCTCTCACCTGACCTTCAGCCACCTGCCTCTAATTGCCTCCTGGACACTGCAAAATGAACCTACCCCAGACTGAGACCCACAGTAGCTCTGTCCTACCAGGTGTTCAGGCTGCATGTCTTGGGAGCCTCTTTTATTGACTTTTCATTTTTTAAAATAACAGAGATGGGGTCTTACCATGTTGACCAGGCTGGTCTGGAACTCCTGGCCTCAAGTGATCCTCCTGCCTTGGCCTCCCAAAGTGCTGGGATTACAGGTGTGAGCCACCGCGCCTGGCTTTGGGAGCCTTTTTCTTTTTTTTTTTTTGAGACAGTCTCGCTCTGTTGACAGGCTGGAGTGCAGTGGTGCAATCTCGGCTCACTGCAACCTCCAACTCCCTGGTTCAAGGGGTTCTCCTGCCTCAGCCTCCTGAGTAGCTGGGATTACAGGCACACACAACCATGCCCAGCTAATTTTTGTATTTTTAGTACAGACGGGGTTTCACCATGTTGGCCAGGATGATCTTTATCTCCTGACCTCATGGATCCACCCCCCTCGGCCTCCCAAAGTGCTGGGATGACAGGTGTGAGTCACTGCTCCTGGCCGGGAGTCTTTTTCTTGTACCACACGTTCCTCTATCAGTCATTCCTCTTGGCTCTGCTTCTACACTGTGTCCAGAGACCGCTGATTTTCTGCCACTACCATGCTTGGAGCATGCCTTGCTCGCAGCTTGCGTGTTCCCTGCCACAAGCTGGGCTCCATCCTGTCCACTTGGCAGCACCCATGATCCCCACTTCCCCTGGTCACCACCAATGCAAACAGTTCCTCAAGCAAGCCATGGTTCCTCTTTCCACCTTGAAAATGTCCCTTGATGTGTCTGCCCTCCAATGCAACTTCTGTTCTACTGGGCCCACAAGAAATAGGTGGAACATTCTTGCTATCTTAGTTCCTAAAGCAACAGCTTGTCTGCCAAGTCCAGGGGCCTCCGGTTCCCTCCATCCTCTTACGGGCCTTAGTTCCCTTGGCCAAGCCCAGCGCTGATGTCTCCTTGGCCAAGATTCCCCCAGTTCTGACCCCACTACACCAGGATGGTCTATTTCTGGCCTAACTCCCCACTAGGCTGGGACATGTCAAGGACAGGGCTCAGGGCTTGAAAACATGCACAGGGATGCTCAGATGTAGCTCCAGTTTCTTGAATGACTACAGCCCTGTCTCACCCAGGGTTAGACATGGCCGTCGGCTCCCCCTTGCCCAGGGGTCAGTGCCAGTTGCTTGGCCTGGCATCTGTGGCCCAGCCTAACCTGGATCTTGCCGCAGCTGCCGCCACCCTGAAGCCTTTGTTTCCTGACTGACGCATGCGCTGGCCACACCTCTACACAACATATGCTGTTCCCTTTGCCTGGAATGCCCTTCCTGCCTCACCTTCTCATCTAGCCCAAGCTGGGCACGGTGGCTCAGGCCTGTAATCTCAGCACTCTGGGAGGCCGAGGCGGGTGGATCACTTGAGGTCAGGAGTTTGAGACCAGCCTGGCCAACATGGTGAAACCCTGTCTGTACTAAAAATACAAAAATTAGCCAGGTGTGGTGGTGGGGGCCTGTAATCCCAGCTACTCGGGAGGCTGAGACATGAGAATCACCTGAACCCTGGGGGGCAGAGGTTGCAGTAAGCTGAGATGGCGCCACCACATTCCAGCCTGGGCAACAGCATGAGACTCCATCTCAAAAAAAGGAAAAAGGGCCAGGCGTGGTGGCTCAGGCCTGTAATCCCAGCACTTTGGAAGGCTGAAGTGGGCAGATCATGAGGTCAGGAGTACAAGACCAGCCTGACCAACATGGTGAAACCCTGTCTCTACTAAAAATACACAAATTAGCCGGGCATAGTGGCATGCACCTACAATCCCAACTACTCAGAGGCTGAGGCAGAAGAATCGCTTGAATTTGGGAGGCGGAGTTTATAGTGAGCCAAGATCGGGCCACCGCACTCTAGCCTGGGCGACAGAGCAAGACTTGTCTCAAAAAAGAAAAAGAAGATCCTAGCCTTCAGGTATGAAATAAGGCTGGGGTCACCTCACCTCCACCAGGTCCCAGAAGAACACCTTCCCGTCCTCAGAGCAGCTGACCACATGTGTGTCACGCTCGCTTAGGCAGCAGTCCAGCTTGTACTCCTGGTTCTTATGGCCCTTGTACCTAAGGGTGGACAGGATCGGGGGGCTTGGTCCTCTCCAGAGGTGGGAGAGGAGGGAAGAGATCCCCACCACCACAAGGACTCACTCGCCCAGCAGCTCCCCTGTGTCTTTGTCCAGGAGCCGCAATGTGGAGTCCAGACTGGACACCAGGGTGCACTGCCCATCCCGGCTGAAGCAGGTGCAGGTGATGGGGCCTTGGAGGAGGGACGGATAGGTGAGTGAGGCTGGGGTGCCCCTGGCTGGCCCCCCATCTTCCCTGCCTGTCTCACATCTCCGGCCACACTCACTGCCCACGTAGTCTGAGAAGAGCTGGCCCATCCTCAGGTCATAGCGTCTCATGCGGCCGTCCACAGAGCTGCGGGAGAGGGTAGATCCAGCGGGAGCCTTGCCTAGGCTCCATGGCTCCAGGCAGCCCTGTGCCTTCCCAGCCCGCTGGGCCTGCTCTTCCAGTGCACAGGAGTGGAATTCTGAAGCTCTGGCCTTGAGACTCAGGCCCAGGGCCAGTCAGGTCTTACTGCATCGTTTCCAAGACCCACACCCCTTTTCCAAACCCTTGGCGACCTTCCGATTCTCCCTTTTCTTTCTTTCTTTTTTTTTTTTGAGAGAGTTTTGCTCTTGTTGCCCAGGCTGGAGTGCAATGGCCTGATCTCGGCTCACTGCAACCTCTGCCTCCCAGGTTCAAACGATTCTCCTGCCTCAGCCTCCTGAGTAGCTGGGATTACAGGCATGCGCCACCATGCCCTGCTAATTTTGTATTTTTAGTAGAGACAGGGTTTCTCCATGTTGGTCAGGCTGGTGTTGAACTCCCAACCTCAGGTGATCCGCCCACCTTAGCCTCCCAAAGTGCTGGGATTACAGACATGAGCCACCCCACCTGGCCCAATTCCCCCTTCTGTATTCTCCAGCTCCTCCTCCTCAGTACTCAGTCCCACCACTTTCCCCACTACCCAGCACCATCATCTAGACTGCTCTGGTCTCCCTGCACCCCCACAGCCACCAGAGGGAGCACTTTTCAAAGTACAGTTGATCCATGAACAACAGGGTTTGAACTGAAGCAGTCCACTTATATGTGGATTTTCTTCTGCCTCTATCAGCCCTGAGACACCAAGACCAACCCCTCCTCCTCCTTCTCCTCCGCCTTCTCAATGTGAAGATCTTTATGATGATCTCTTCACTTCCACTTAATGAATAGAAAATATATTATTTCGGCCGGGCGCGGTGGCTCACGCCTGTAAATCCAGCACTTTAGGAGGCCGAGGCAGGCGGATCACAAGGTCAAGAGATGGAGACCCTCCTGGCCAACATGGTGAAACCCCGTCTCTACTAAAAATACAAAAATTAGCCAGGCGTGGTGGCGTATGCCTGTAGTCCCAGCTACTCAGGAGGCTGAGGCAGGATAATTGCCTGAACCCGGGAGCTGGAGGTTGCAGTGAGCCAAGATCATGTCGCTGTACTCCAGCCTGGCGACACAGACTCTATCTTAAAAAAAAAAAAAAAAAAAAAAAAAAAATTTCCTTATGATTATTTTTTTAAATTTGTTTTGTTTATTTATTTTTGAGACGAAGTCTCGCTCTGATGCCCAGGCTGGAGTGTAGTGGTGCAATCTTGGCTCACAGCAAGCTCTGCCTCCCGGGTTCACGCCATTCTCCTGCCTCAGCCTCCCGAGTAGCTGGGACTACAGGTGCCCACCACCACGCCCAGCTAATTTTTTTAATTTTTAGTAGAGACAGGGTTTCAGCGTGTTAGCCAGAATGGTCTCGATCTCCTGACCTCAGGATCCGCCTGCCTCAGCCTCCCAAAGTGCTGGGATTACAGGCGTGAGCCACCACACCCGGTCTATTTTTATTTAACTTTTTAAATCGTTTCATTTTATCTTTTTTTTTTTTTTTGAGACGGAGTCTCACTCTGTTGCCCAGGCTGGAGTGCAGTGGCACAATCTCGGCTCATTGCAACCTCCAACTCCCGGGTTCAGGTGATTCTCCTGCCTCAGCCTCCCAAGTAGCTGGGATTACAGGCTCCCATCACCACACCCGGCTAATTTTTTTATTTTTAGTAGAGACGGGATTTCACTATGTTGGCCAGGCTGGTCTCAAACTCCTGACCTCAAGTGATCTGCCCTCCTCGGCCTCCAAAAGTGCTGGGATTATAGGTGTGAGCCACCATGCCCGGCTTGATTATTATTTTATTTTTTAGACAGTCTCACTTTCACCCAGCATGGAGTGCAGTGGTCCCTCAAACTCTTGGGCTCAAGTGATCCTTCCACCTCAGCCTCCCAAGTAGCTGAGACTACAGCTGTGTGCCACTGTGCCCAGCTGAGAGTAGGTTTTAATCTGAGCATGGGGGCAGCTATGATTCCCAGTAGCACCTCGGCTGAGACCAGGTCCTGGCTCCACTCACCCTGTCAGGACCTCGTGGTCTGACACCTTCACACTGGACACGCCATCTCTGGCCTCATCCAGCGTTTGCACTGGCTCAGGCCTCCGTGAGCGGCAATCCCAACAGCGGATACTGGAATCAATAGAGCCTGTGAGGCCAGCATGATGGTGAGGTCAGGTTTGGAGGGGAAGGGCAGCATCCTGGACCCCCCTGCGTAGGTCCCAGACTCACCGGACAGGATAACTGTGGCCTCTTCATTAAACTGCACCGTGTTCACCTTCTGAGAAAGTTATTGCCACTCAGAGGAGGCTGGACTTTGGAGGACTGGGATAAAGGCAGGGTTCCCAGTGTCGGTTAAAGCAAGGGCAAAGGTTAGAAGGGGAGGTGAAAGGTTTTGGGGGAACAGCAAGGACAGGGGTTGGTGACTGCCTAGCCTGGCATGCGGAGCGGGGGATCGTCATCTGGGGAAGGGATCCTTACGGTGTAATGGGGGTGGCCTCATCACCACCTATGCGCTAATACGGGTCCCCTCCGCTCGAATGAGGGTCTCCAGGCTTTCACTCACCCCTGCATGGCCCCGGAATTTGCGCACGACCTGTCCTGATGCCACATCCCACAGAACCACCGCCTTGTCCCCGCCGCCGGAGCAGAGACTGCTGTTGTCAAAGGAGCTGGAGTAAAGGAGGAGGAAGATCAGCATCGACCTCGGATCCCAGCCTCAGCGCTCCCATCCCAGCCTGGCCCCCGGCTCACCCGGCCGCATCCAGCACCTCGTAGCCGTGGCCGCTGTACGTCCGCAGCAGCGTCCCCCGAAGCGGGTTCCATAGCTTCAGGGTCTTGTCACTGCCGCACGTCAGGCAGTAATTGCCATCCACTGGGGAACAACAGGCGGGGGTTACTGGGCCGCCGACCTCAGGAGGCGGGAGGAGGACCCGGAATGAAGACTAAGGCGCTCACCATTAAATCGTACGGCTCGCACCGCCCCTTGCCCGCAGTCCAGCGTCTTCAACCGTTTCTGCGGCAGCTCCGGAGGCCGCGGCTTTGGCTCAGGGAAAGCCATAGTCCCAGGACCCCTTCCTCGCCGCCTTAAATCGATCTGTATGGAAGATTCCGCGCCTTCGAAACCCACGCTTGGGTGTAACCTTATTATTGTTCTTCCTGAACTACTTCCTGTTTATCACTTCCGGGTTCATCATTTTGGCATTTGGGTGCTCTTGTTGGAACTATTGAAGCCCGATTTCAGGTTCTTTTCCCCATTTCCCCTTTGCAAGGAAGGCTTCTGGATTCTCCTAAATTTCCGATCTCTGGGTAGGAGGAGTCCAAGCCTCTGTCATGAGGAACGGAAATGTGAGGGCCTCGGGTGTGACTCTAAAATCCGCCCTCAGCTTGCACGCCGGAAGCTGCAATTTCTGCAGCGGAAGAGGCGTGACCTGGCCTTCGACTCGCTATGTCTACTAACAATATGTCGGACCCACGGAGGCCGAACAAAGTGCTTAGGTGAGGACGCCAGCGTCGTGGCCACGGGTTCGGGTTGGGGGTGTGGATCGGGGCCCTGGGAAGCGTCTGTCTATCCCGGGGACAGGACCTGAGCGCCCCTGACCCTCGAGCCTGTCGCAGGTACAAGCCCCCGCCCAGCGAATGTAACCCGGCCTTGGACGACCCGACGCCGGACTACATGAACCTGCTGGGCATGATCTTCAGCATGTGCGGCCTCATGCTTAAGGTGGGCGGGATTGAGCTTCTGTGGGTGTAGTTGGACCTGAGAACGAGGCCCGGGGGCGGGTTTGGAATGAAGCCGGGCGTCTTGTCATTGCTGATGAGGCAGGACCTGAGATCGGCCGGGAGTGGGGCTGGGATGACGCTGGGCCAAGAAAGCCCCAGTCTTTGGTGAAGTCAAGAATTCGGGTCAGGGCGGGGATGTGGCAGATTGGTCTGCGGGTGGGGCCAGGCTTTGAAGCAACTTGGAGGGGACTCGTGGAAAGGGGCAGGGTCTTAAGCATGTGGGATGTCAGAGTCTTGGCCCTGAGAGACGCAGTCCAGGCAGTAGGACTAGAAACCATGTATCTGGAGTATGCCATGAGCAGGTGGGACTGAGGAGTTCCCGGGGGCAAGGTTCCAGCTGCATCAGATGGAATCAGTGGGCATGAACTGGTGTCTGGAAAGGTGGCTTCGGGACTCATTGTTGTGCCTTTCACTGACCTGCCCACCCACCTACCTTTCCCCAGCTGAAGTGGTGTGCTTGGGTCGCTGTCTACTGCTCCTTCATCAGCTTTGCCAACTCTCGGAGCTCGGAGGACACGAAGCAAATGATGAGTAGCTTCATGTGAGACTTGGCCGAGAGAACGAGTGACTCTTGAGTAAGGGGTGGGGGGACTCCAGCCTGCCCATCCTGGACTGACACCTCTCTCCTGTCTCAGGCTGTCCATCTCTGCCGTGGTGATGTCCTATCTGCAGAATCCTCAGCCCATGACGCCCCCGTGGTGATATCAGCCTAGAAAGGTCACATTTTGGACCCTGTTTATCCACTAGGCCTGGGCTTTGGCTGCTCAACCTGCTGCCCTCAGCTGCCATCCTGGACTTCCCTGAATGAGGCTGTCTCAGTGCCTCCAGCTGGATGGAGGGAACCTGGCCCTTTCCTAGGGAACACCCTAGGCCTACCCCTCCTGCCTCCTTTCCCCTGCCTGCTGCTGGGGGAGATGCTGTCCATGTTCTAAGGGTATTCATTTGCTTTCTTGTTGTCGCCTGTTAATAATAAAGTTTTTCACTCTGGCTGTCAGCCTCTTCTGTTCATTGGGGCGTTCCTTCTAGGTGGGGGAAAGGGCTCTAGCTCCATAGGCCTGGTGTGGAGCCCCAGTCTGGAAACTTCTGGCTGTTCGCTTGCTTACTTCATAAACTTTGTGTCTTAAGTCAGGTGCTAGGAACAAGACAGTGACTTCTGCCCTCTGGCAACTCACCAGATGGCCCTGATGACCTAGAGAATCTGGGCTTTGGTTTCCTTTTCTTTTTCTTTTTTTCTTAAAAAAAGATATGCCATGCAGGCTGAGTGCAGTGGCACAATCTCTGGTTACTGCACCCTCAAACTCCTGGGCTCAAGCAATCCTCCCATCTCAGCCTCCCACATAACTGGGACCACACATGCGTGCTACCATGCCCAGTTATTTTTGTTTTTTTGAGACAGAGTTTTGCTCTTGTTGTCCAGGCTGGCGTGCAATGGCATGATCTTGATCTCAGCTCACTGCAACCTCCGCCTCCCAGGTTCAAGCGATTCTCCTGCCTCAGTCTCCCAAGTAGCTGGGATTACAGGCATGTGCCACCATACTCAGCTAATTTTTGTATTTTTGCATTTTGTGTAAAATTACAAATTCTGTGTTTTCAAACCCGTCTCTACAAAACAACCCATGTTGCCCAGGCTGGTCTCAAACTCCCGGGCCCAAGCGATCCACCAGCCTGGGCCTCCCAAAGTGCTGGAATTGCAGGCTTGAGCCACTGCCCCTGGCCTGGGCTTTGTTTTCTATCAGAGAATGAACTGGTAGGAATTGGGAAAGGCGTGAAAGACTCGGGGTCTTTCCCCACTTATCAGACCTCCTTTCCTCTCCGGAACACCCAGGGATCCTTCTCAACCAGGCTGGATCCCATCCCCGGTACTCCAAGGGTACTTACCCAACGTCCCAATCCCCACAGTATAGGACTCTTATCAAATCCTCCTCTTAGGCAAGCTAGGTCCTTCCAGGATTCCAAGCATTGCAAGACTCGTTATAGCCCGTGAGACGTCAAAGTCACCATTAGCCCAACAAGTGCCCTGAGGGTGGCATTTTCCTACCTTCCTATGAGGACCCCCGGGATTGCCGAGTGCTACAGCCTCTGTCCCGTGAGCCGCCAGACCGCGCCCTGGCCCCGCCCCTGCCCCCCGATTGGCCCGGCCGGGTCTCGGGGCGGGGCGTTTGCTCGGCCTTTCCAGGGCCGTGGAACCCCAGGAGGAAGCTGCTGAGCCATGGGTGCCTACGCGCCGGCTGCGGGGGTCAGCGCTCGCGGCTGCCTGGACGCAGCAGGCCCCTGGACCATCTCCCGCGCCCTGCGGCCACCGCTCCCGCCTCTCTGCTTTTTCCTTTTGTTGTTGCTGGCGGCTCCCGGTGCTCGGGCCGGGGGATACGAGGTGAGTGGGGCCTCCGAGCGGAAACGTACAGGAGGCAGAGTGAAACACCATATACAGTCTAGAGGTGTGGGTGGGTCTGTCCTGCGGGTGTCTAGTGAATGGCTGATGATATGACAGTGTGGTCTTAGTGCGTGCTTTGTGTCACTGCGAGGTCTGGCTGTGCGCATCTGAGTATGGGACTGTGTCTGATTGTACCTGCCTCTGTGTCTCCGGGATGCTTGCCTGGACTTTGCCTGCACTTAACTGTGGGATTGGAGGGGCAGGAGGTGGCAGGAGGTGAGCAGTGTATGTGTGGGGGGAGGTGCGGGTTGAGAGCTGGGACTCTAGAGTCTGCCTGAAATTCCAGCCTAGTTCTTCCACTTCCTAACTGTGTGACGCTGGGCAAGTCACCTATCCTCTCTGAGTCCCAGTGCCTTCATCTGGAAACTGAGGATAACATCACCCCACCTCCCAGGGTGACCGTCTGCTGTTGGCAAGTGCTGAACAAACGTCAGCTACTTCTATTATTGTTTTCCCAGAGTGTGAATGAGAGCAGCCCTATGGGTTTGTGCAAAGTGGGGGTTGTATCTGTGAGCACAACTATGTATGTGTGTGTCCTGCCTGGGAGGGCCTGGCCTCCTCGGCACATAGGCGAGATCAGGCCTCTCTGAGTCACTCACCTCTAGATCAAGACTTACTTTGCAGCCCCTGACATCCGGGGTTATTGACAAGGTATGTGTGTTTGGGGTCCCTGTGCAGACATGCCCCACAGTGCAGCCGAACATGCTGAACGTGCACCTGGTGCCTCACACACATGATGACGTAGGCTGGCTCAAAACCGTGGACCAGTACTTTTATGGAAGTGAGTAGAGGATGGGGACTGGTCCCTGGGATCCCCATGGTCCGTGTAATCCCTTCTGGGTCCTGGACATTAGGGTGGAGCCAGTGTCACCCTAAGATCCAGGACTTGGGCTCCTGTGTCTAGGAATAACCCCCTTGGCTCTGCTGTGCCCTGAGAGCCTTATCCCTGTTATCCACAGTCAAGAATGACATCCAGCACGCCGGCGTGCAGTACATCCTGGACTCAGTCATCTCTGCCTTGCTGGCAGATCCCACCCGTCGCTTCATTTACGTGGAGATTGCCTTCTTCTCCCGTTGGTGGCACCAGCAGACAAATGCCATGCGGGAAGTCGTGCGAGACCTTGTGCGCCAGGGTGAGTCTGCCCCAAGGAAGTGAAAAGAGGAAGCCCAGCCCAGCTTCTGCTTCTGCATTTCTGGTTTCTGAGATTTTATCATGCCATGTGCAAGTTGTGCAACATGCATATCGCTCCGCCTGCCTGGACTCTCCATTTGGGGAACTCTTTTTTTTTTTGAGACGGAGTCTCGCTCTGTCGCTCAGGCTGGAGTGCAGTGGTGCGATCTCCGCTCACTGCAAGCTCCGCCTCCCAGGTTCACGCCATTCTCCTGCCTCAGCCTCCCGTGTAGCTGGGACTACAGGCGCCCGCCAACACGCCCGGCTAATTTTTTGTATTTTAGTAGAGACGGGGTTTCACCGTGTTCGCCAGGATAGTCTCGATCTCCCGACCTCATGATCTACCCGCCTCGGCCTCCCAAAGTGCTGGGATTACAGGCGTGAGCCACCACGCCCGGCCGAGAACTCTTATACATCCCACAAGGCCCCATCTGCCATGCATCCTCTGGGAAGCCTGCCATGCAGGGGGGCCTCTTTCCCTTATCTGGGAACTATGGCCTGGGGGCGACCCCTCTTCTCCTTCCGCCAGAAATGAGTGCACAGGCAGGCTTTCACATTCCCAGTATCACCCACCCTGGTCCCACTCCTGGCTGTGACCACTGACCCCGACCTTGCCTGTCCTGGCACAGGGCGCCTGGAGTTCGCCAACGGTGGCTGGGTGATGAACGATGAGGCAGCCACCCACTACGGTGCCATCGTGGACCAGATGACACTCGGGCTGCGCTTTCTGGAGGACACATTTGGCAGTGACGGGCGAC